TTCCTCAACCAACCAACCAATCAACCAGTCAAACAACCAATCAACCAACCAACCAACCAAACACCAACTAACCAATCAATCAACCAACCAACAAAACAACCAAACAATCCTTAGATCTCAAACTCAAGACAAATGGGCTAGTTGACACGCCTATTTGACATATCAAAGCAGACACTGACCAATTCTCCCAGCATCCCTTAGTACCTAGGACTTCTCTCAGTTCTCACAGCTTCATTCATGTCATGTGGCTCCTCCCAGCACATCTCACCCTCCCAGGGTTTGTGCTTCTGCTTCTCTTCCCCCAGCCTGATCTCTATAACTCAACCATTTTGGCTATACTAATCTCTAGGTCTCCTGACCCCAGGTGCCTCATGTTTGGCAGCTCCTCTCTTGCCATCCCTTCCCCCTTCTCCTCTCATGGTCTGGTTTAGTCTGACAGCCATGTTCAACCTGGGCTCTTCTCTCTGCTTTCTCCCTTCTATCTACCATAAAAATCTTCCCCATACTTTAGGAGTAGTCATGTCTTCCTCCTTTTATTTCATTTTTTTCCCCACCAGGGAACAGACCGCCCAACCAACCACCTAGTCAGCTTATTACCGAAGCTGAACTTGGGTTAATTGCAGATGACTCTGTAACCAATTAACCAAATTGTCACAGTATCACACCACCACACTTCCGTTTTCTGTCAATGCTGTTAGATCATGTTGTTGGGGCAATTCTCAGAGCCTCTCAAGGTTTTGAGGGCTAGCTAATTTGATGCTTTGTTTTCCCCCCTATGTTCTTTTTATATTTGTTCAAATATACTTCACTGCATTTAACTGTCCTGAGGAATTTTCTGTCAGTATCAGTTTCCTGGAGCTGCTGTAACAAAGCACCACAGGCCAGGTGACTGAGAACAATTGTCACCTATTGTCTCAAAGTTCTTGAGGCTGAGAGTCTAGAACAGAGCCTAGAATTCCATGGGGAACACAGGTCATGTTCCCCCTGGAATCTGCAGGGGAAGGACCTTCTTGGCCTCATGCTACCTGCCTTCTGAAGTGTGGTGAAGGTTGGGGTGTTTCTTGACTTGTAAATGTGTCACTACGATCCTTCATCTTCACATGGCTCACTCCTTCTTCTGTGTATCTACCCGGTGTGCAAATTACTTCTTTTTATAAGAACATCAGTTGTATAATATTAGGGTCTAGCCAGTGAGCCTATTTTAAATTGACAGTGTATGCAGAGAATGTGTTCAGTGATGGTCATAGTCTGGGGTACTGGGGTATTAGGACTGCAACACATTTTCTGCTGGGGGAATAGTTCAACCTATAACTGGGTGCTGGGGTTGGGATTTGCTGTTGTGTTCTTTTGTGCTTATAGAGCTGGGAGAATTTCATGGTGCTGCCTTCCTCAGTTGCCTCCATCTTTGGGCAATTGTACGATAGGATGCCATTCTGGAAAGGTCTGCCTGCACTGGGCAGAGTGTCTTGCATCTGTAATCCCAGCACTCAGCAGGTTGAGACAGAAGGATTTGGAGTCCCAGGTGCGAGTGGACCATATAGTAGACTCTCAACAACATCAAAGCAAACAGTCAGAAACCTGCCCAGTGCCCAGCTGCTCACCATGAGTCCCAGATGTCACAAGAGACTGGGGTGTTTCCCTCTCAGGAAATGTGTGTGAAGGCTTAGAAGGACTGACGATGTCCCAAAGGCTCTTTAGGTTCTTGGCACTATTTTTATCCTGTCATGCCGTGTGTTTGTTCCAACAGTCCTCCTTGGGATAAAATATGGTATAAGCCAAATTAAATAAATGTTCATTCTCTGTCATGGTTTGGTGGCTTAATTTAATAGCAGCATGGGTGTAGGCTGTGAGTTCCAGGGTCCCACAGTGGCTGTGACAGTGGCAGGTACCTCCTCCATGGGACCCTTTATCAACTTCCCTCATTGATGTTAGGTCACCTTACCCTTCTGCCCTTCTGAGAAACTGACTCAGGATCCTGGGCTCAACATGTGGCCCTGTGGTTGTCAGTTCTGTCTAGACTGAGAGCTCCTTGAAGGTAGGAGGACCAGGACACTTTCCTTATTTCTTCTCACTGGCTTCTAATTCAAAACTTTGTCATAGGAATTATTCAGCAACATTAATGACAGCAGATAGGAGGAACCCTGAGGAAGCCATCACAGCAGATATCTAAGGAAGGCTCCAGAACAGCAAACTTGGTCTCACTCTCTGTATGTCAAGTCCTGAACAGGAACCTTCTACTAGAATCCTAGTAACAAACAGCGTAGATACAGACCCATACCCTCCATCACCCAGACAGCCCTTCTCCGCAGCTCTGTTCTGTGAGCATCCGCAAAGAGAGCGAGTCACTTGTGCATCTCTGTGTGGGCACCATGAGTGCGTGCTCTTCACCAATGAGAGGAACACGTGTGATATGACATCTGTTTCCTGAACAAAACCAGACTCCACTTCAATGCTTTTGCATGTGATTCCTCCACCTGGAACATGGGTGCTAAGAGAAGCTCTGATGGTTTAGTCTTTTCTTAGGAATAAACACATATGCCTTAACATGTATAAATGGTCCCCCCTCTTCTCTCCAGTTGTGAGGGTGTAGAAGCTGTCTTCTTGCACTTATTAAGACCTGTTAGTACTCGTCAGACTTCATAACTGAATAATGCTTTGTTTTCTCTACCCCCTTCTCTTCTTTTTAAATTATTTTTATTTTAGGTGTACGGGTGTTTTGACAACATGTATGTCTGTGCACCATATATGTGTGTACAGTGACCAAGGGCCCAAAGAGGGTATGAGACCCACTGAAGCCAGAGTTACAGATGGCTGTAAGCTGCCATGTGGGTCCGGGGGACAGACCTGGGGCCACTGAGTCGTCTCTCCAGCTCCCTCTTCATTCTGTTGAAACCGGGTTTCATATTAGCCCAGACTGGCTCCCTAACCAGCATCCTGCCTTCCCCTCACTGTATAGATCAACCTTGTCTGTGCCCTTTCTCTCTCAGCCCTGCCTTTCTTATCGCCAGGACTCTGGATTTCACAGTCTAGGGAATCTTGAACCTGCTGGTTCTTCCGTTCTTCCCAAATGGGCTCCTTGGTTTTGCAACTCGGGGTGTGTCATTTACTGTGAGGAATGCAGCTTTCTTTGTCTTGGTTTGCCGAGAATGTTCCTAGCCCAGCCATCCTCTCTTCCTCCTCCCCAAGGAGGCTGCCTGGCCCTTTACACCCTTCCTTGCCTGTTTTGATTCAGGGTTACAGATAACTCTCCATTTCTTTGACGATAGAGTCCTGTTCCTGTTCCTGTTCTCACTCACCTTATGCTTTGGGGGTGATTTCTCAGACAAAAGGGAAGTTGCCCTCTTCAAATCGCATTTTTTAAAACCAGCAGTGCCCAGAAATGTTTTGCATACCCTGAGAGCTTTGCTTTCCATTCTAGTGTTTTGAGTGTCATTTTCAGTCCTAATTAGGGAACTGAACGCACATTTAAATTCAGTCTTTTCTGGTGCTACCAATGCAAACAATTCAATGAAAGTGAGACTTGATCAGACACTGTCACCCATGGATGGCCAAGCTTGCATATGTGGACGCAACGGCAGCCCAGCCCAGTGTGTTCCTCGGCCTGGCCGCTGAAAACCGCCATGCATTTCATATGCATCCATAAAGCGAAAATTTAAAAATGTAGAAAAGCACTCTAACATCATTTTGGCTTGGCGACAGCAGGCTGCTGAAGTCCTGTGGATCAGATAGCGTTAAATGTCACCTTGACACAATCTAGAGTCCCCTGGGAAGGGAGTCACAGTGAGGGACTGTCTAGATTAGGATGGTTTATGGACACATCTATGAGGAAATTTCTTAATTGAGTTAACTGAGGTATGGAAGACCCAAATGAATCATTTCCTGGGCTGGGCCTTGGACTGAATAAAGGGGAGAGAGCCAACTGAGAGTAAGAAAGTGTATGCATTCTCTCTCTCTCTCTCTCTCTCCTGGAAGCTACTAGTTGCTTCAAGCTCTCTCTGCATTGACTTCTCTGTCACGACAGAGAGTAATCTGGAATTGTGAGCCACATAAACCTTTCTTTCCTAAAGTGCTCTAGGTCAGGGCATCTTGTCACAGTAACTGGAAAGGAAACCAAGATGAACATCAATTTTTTTTGTTGTTGCAAAAGCTGACATTTTAAAATAAATGGAGGAACCGTCTTTATTTGTTTTGTGTTGTTATGTCAGAACCCCTGAGACTGGATACATTTTTATAAAATAAAGAAGGCTCCTCAGCTCACAGCTTCAGGGGTTAGAACTCCAGCACTGGTGAGCTGTTCTGCTTGGCCTGTGACTATGCCACAGCCACACTGACTGGCATCACACCACATAGAGGAGGCCCAGAGGGCTGAGAGTCATGTACCAAAGAGGAAGGTGCCTGTGAGAGAGATCACACACCAAAGGAACACGGGAGAGGGCAAGGAGAGCGAGACAAAGTTACGTGGCAACAAGCCACTCTTACTGTGACCAAGGGAGTCCCAAGAGAGTAAGCACACTCTCCAGAGACCGAACTCACTCCGTAAGAACACTAGTCATTTAAGTCACCTTTGTCACCATTTGACAAGTCAAACCATAGCAGAAATCAAATACCAAACAGATCAACTAGGGAGAAAAGTAACTGCCAGTGGCTTCTTAAAGTCACCCTTAGTGACCTCTTAAAGGCACTTGCTCCCAACACCGTTTATTGAGGACTAAGCTGCAACATAATTGTTTTAATTAATTTTTTAAATTATTGTCACCAGGAATAGTCAGTCAACACAAAATGAACTCAATGATATTTTTGAGACCTTTTGTTTCATCTTACTTTGTTTTTGCTTTGTAGTTCTTTAGTGACTCTGTTTTGATTTTCTCTTGTGTGGTTTTGTGGGTTTTGTTTTTGTTTTGTTTTTGAGAGGGAGAAAGCATGAAGTTGGGTGGATAGAGAGTTGGGAGGGTTTGGGAAGAGTCAGGAGAGGAAAAACATGATCAAAATATACTGCATAAATTTTTTCAATAAAATATTTATTATTTTTATTATTTATTATTACTATTAGGAGAATGAATGGTCGTAGGCAACAAACAGCTATCAAGAGATCTAATAATAGCCCAAGATGAACTGGCTCTGGACCTGCAACCTCACAGCCTTTACAAGTGACGTTCTCATCAGCCAGGCAGTCTTGTAGACTTTAACACAGAAATAACCTTGTGCCACACTGGGAGCTTCAGAAAGGATTCTCTTTCCAGACAGTCCCACATGGCTGTTGGCAGCAGGCTTCAGTTCTTCACCCGGTGTGCCTCTTCACAAATGGCTTCAGGGTCCTCATAACAAGGAAGTGTGTGTCACAGCTCAACTTCTGGTAGGATAGCAGCCATGCTGGATTAGGAGGACATGCTTTTCCAGTAGAAGTCCCTGCTCGCTAATTATGTCTATGATGGCAGATCCAAAGAAAGTCACGTCCTACAGAAGGAGTCAAAAATCGGCTGATCATTTCTGGAGAGCACAGTTCAACTGGACACTAGAGAAGAGCCTAGAGCAGGCTAGATTGGGCATTGAGACTAAAGTCCCTGCATAAACTCAGAGGAGTATATTATGAGGCTACCCATCTGTCGAAGAGAACTGGGCTTGTGGGGTGGATGACCCAAGGCTGTTTGTGAGACAAAAATTCAATGACCTGGTGCTTAAATGTTGTCTGTGTCCCAAGGGTTCATGTGTTGCAAGCTTGATCCCCAGTGCGGCGATCTGTAAGAAGCCAAGGCCTAGTGACCAGTCTTAAGGTCAACTGGGGACACTAGCTTAGAAAAGACTGTGGAACCCTAGTCCTGTTGGGAGATATGATTTCTCTTCTCACAGGCGCTCCTGCCACTGTGATGTGATCTACCATAAAGTTCTCCCAGAGCCGAGCTGGTGAAGGTATCTTGCCCTTGAGTCTTCAGAAGTGTAGCTAAATAATCCTCTTTTCTTTATAAAGTTCCCTAGCCTCAAATATTGATTATAGTAATGGGAAATAGACTATACTATACTCAGAGTGGAACAACTGAAACAGCAACAAGGATGGTGCCTGGGACATGCAGAGCAAAGAAGCACAAATGTTTAGATTTCCTAGATACTCTTCTTCGTCGGGATGGTGAAATAGTTGAGAAATAGCCCTAGTTGAGATGCTCAGGGAAAGGGAAGCTTGGGGCACTTCAGGCATTTTTGCTCATGCTGCTTACAGAAACAGACTCCCATAAGCTGTTCTTAGAAACGTCTGAAAATGGGGAGTGTGAAGAATCACTGGCCTCAGGAGATGATCAACCAAACTTTGCTGGCTCTCTGGCGGAGGCAAACATGGCGGCGATGTGCCTCTTCTGTTTGTTCTCACTACCTTGCCCTTCTTCAGGGCCTTAAGCCACTTGAGGGGAGATGTTTGGCTTTAGCAGTGGTCCCTAAGCCTCACGTTCCTCTTTGCATATGCCTTTGCTGTTACCCAACAGCCACATCTCGTTCCAGTGGCTGACCATTTTTAAAACATCACTCTGAATCTTCAGGGTGACAGTCAGTCGTGACTGAAGGCAGGTGCTGTCACGTGATGCAGGCAGCCGTGGAGGTCACTGCTCCTGGGCTTTATGAGCATTTTAAAACTCATCCAATCTTTCCTTAAAAACATATATTGTTTATGTTTTAGAACTTCTTACACTGTCTGTACATCATTTCCAGTCCCCTCTTTCCTCCTCTTCCTAACTCCTCCCACAATCCCTATTCCCTTCCAAATTTATGACTTTTTTATTCCATAATTATGTATGTATGTATGTTGCACATATATCTCACACCTATTGAGTCCAATTAGTATTGCTTATACAGGCATGTGTTTAGGGTGGGGGTGAGCACTAAAATCACTTGAGCTTCTACTTCATGCCATAAGATGAAATATACTGCCTTCTGGTTTATAGTATACATGTGGGGTGTGTGTGTGTGTGTGTGTGTGTGTGTTGGACATGTGCGTACAAATCTGTGGAGGTCAGAGGCTGACACTGAGGGTCTTCCTCAAGTGCTGTCCACTGAATGTATTGAGGAGAGTTTCTCACAGGAATCCAGGGCTTACTGGCTAGCCAGCTTGCTTCAGGGATCACCAGGGACTGCGTCCTGAATCCTCGGGATTATAGGCTGCCACACTCACTAGGTGTTCCTGTGGGTGACGAGGAACTTCAATCTCAGGGCAATTGAGCCATCGCCCTGGCCCCTAGACTGCTCTTCTTAAGGATTTACCTGTCTTGAAAACTGAACGCATGTCAGTTTTCTAATTTAAACATTTTTTCTCTTAGCGTGTTTCTTTCCTTCCAACCTAAGCTTGCTTTGTCTTCCTTCTTGCCCCTTCAATTTAATGAGGATACTAAATTAAAAGTGAAAATATTAATAATTTATCAGTATCAAGGATAACTCATTCTACACCACGATCCTTCTGTAAACACATTATTGAGAAATATTTCTAGCCAGGAGCCTCAGGCTGATGAAGGAGAGCCGTCTCCTAATTTGGGAAAGTTGTTCTCGCAATAACGCTGGCTTTCTTGCTTGAGATGAGCCAACAATGACACATGTTTGTTTTGTTTTAATTCATGTTAAAGAGGGTTATAGGAAGGATCTCAAAAAACCTTATGTGGAGTACAAGAAGGCAGGCACAAAAGAATATATTTATATGAAATTTCAGTCAAGTCAAAGCTAGTGTATCGTGACAAAAAGCAGATCAGTTGTGGTCTGGGGTCAGGATGGGAGATGTGGGGAGAAGGGGATCAGTTTTGGGGTGATGGAAATGTCCTCTGTCGTGATTGTGATGGGGGCTACATGGAAGATAATCTGTCAAGTGCATCAGACTGTGTACTTAATTATATGTAAGCTATACTTCAGTAACACTGATTTACAGGCCAGAATGTGGTGTGATTTAGAGCCCAGATATGAACTGACCAGGATTCTCAAATAAATATAAATAAATATATGTGTATTTTTGTTTGTTTTTTACTTAAAGATCTTCTAGCTAGGTACCGTAAATGCATCTATTTGCTTTATGCCTGAGTGACAGCTCTAGCCATGTAGCCTTCTGTGGTCAGTACCCAGTGGGCTAAGCAAGGACTTTAAAGTAGTCTGAACCAGCTCATTTGCCAGCCCTGCACAAAAACCTAGCTTCGGGGGCTTGACTTTCTTTGGGTGCAGCTGTATTCACAGTTCTACAGGCCCCTCCCCCCAGGTAGACTTCCCACCTGTGCTTTTAATTCCTTGAGCAAATGTAGCCATGAACGTGTACCATTCCTGCATGGGTGGTATCCCAGCTCCACATGGATGGGCATATGGGCGCCTATGGCAGCCTTCAGGTACACCTGCTGCTCTCTGAGCACCCACACTCAGTAACAGGGCAGCTGGGGCCTCCACTCCCTCTGCCCTTCCCTGGCCCACCTGCTTTCCTTCTATACTCAGGTCGCTGCTAGATTGGCCTCGAGTCCGTAGATTTCACTCTTGCCGGCTGCCTGGATGTGGGCCCAGGAGGAGCCCGCCCTGCCAGTCAGCTGTTGCTGGGAACTGTGACAAGAACGGAGCTGAGTCCCCCTGTAGCAATACAAGAAAGCAGAGGAAACGAACATGGATCATGACAGACATGGAGCAAACATTAGCCCTCTGTGGGTAAGAACGTGTTTCATTTGTGCCCCCAAATAAAGGGCAAGCCAAAATTCCACTCTTCAGGTCCTAACGGTGGTGGGCTGACAGGGAAGTGGAGGCCAACTTAAGTCTGGACTTCATGCTTCTTTTGTTTCTTTTGAGAGAGTCTCCCTATGTAGCCCAGGCTGGCCCTGGATTCTCAGTCCAGCTGTCTCTGCCTTCCAACTTCTGAGGTTTCGAGTATGTCAGCTCCTTCTTGCTTTTTATTGGAACACAAACATAAGGCCAGAACTCATAGTGTGTCCTATAACGTCCCTTCTTGGGACTGTGCTGAAGAACAAAGAACCGTGATGGATTTCCCATGGACTTTCACTGCCTAAGACAGGGTGAGGAGCTTGCTCCATTACAGTCAGTTCCTTTAAAGGGCTTCTTAGCTGGTGTGTCCAGTTCTGACTGAACCATGGAACTGGAGTGGCTTTGAGGCAGTGTGATGGACTGGATGCCCCTTTGGTGCCTCTTTTACTATTAAAGATAGAACTTTCATGTTTTACAATGTTGAGACTGTGTTGAATCAGTTGACTTTCTTGTGGGCTCTGTGGCTCATGAACGTTTCTCTGGTATATCCTGTATGTTGGGTCACTACATGAGTAAAATGTGAATCTTTGTGGTTATAGAGGGAGGAAAGAGGTCCTGGCAGGAGCAGAGGGCAGTGGCTACAGGAAGTAGGGGTGGCTGAGCATGGGCTCCACAAGGCAGTCGAGGGGAGGCTGCAGGAAGTGGGCTGTGGAAGGCCAAAGTGCCCAACTCGTCTCAATGAGCACAGGTTTGAGAAATGATATAATTTAAAAATTATAAATTCTTTTGCTGTTTTGTTTTATGAGACAGGGTTTCTCTGTGTAACCCTGGGCTGTCCTGGAACTAGCCCTGTAGATCAGGCCGGCCTCAAACTCACAGAGATCCTCCTGCCTCTGCCTCCTGAGTGCTGGGATAAAAGGAGGTGCACCACCACAGCCTCCCAGCTAGAATTGTAAATTCTTAAATGTATCATTTATGTGAAGAAGCACTTACATTATGAGTGAAGGAGCCAATCGAGTGTATTACTCCGTGTGCAAGAATTTCTAGGGGTGGGAGAAGCCGCCTTGGTGGCGACTTTCTGACATATTTATGAACCACTTCCTCACCGAGTCTAATCCTCTTCATTAGTAGGATGGGCATGCAAGGAGCTGCTTTGCAAGTAAGTCATTTGAGGCTCAAACAGAAAGAAGCAAACCCCATGGGCACCAGAATTTAGGTTGCTCAAGGTATATAAAATATCACAGTATTTGCATATAACCCTCACATGTCTTCTGGCAGACGTTGCATCATGTCTAGGTGACTGAAAGTACCTACCACAATGTCAAGGCTCTAAAAAAAGCTTGTGTTGTTGGCTTTACCAAGCTCTTACCTGTTCCATACAAACATGATTTTTTTTATTTGTTTCTGCTGAATACTTTTTAGTCACAGTTGGGTGAATCTGAGGATGAGGAACTCTGAGATACAAAGGATCAGTTATGCATTAAAATTAATATTTTATTCATACTGAGAATTATTCATCAAATAAACAAAAGGTTCTGGAAGGTGGAGGAGGGGAAGGCAGGCGGACTAGGATCTTTAGGACATACATGGAATATAGGTATAAGCACATATATTATTACAAATACATATGGGTACATATACACACACGCATTTATATATATATATATGAATATATGAAATACATATATTCCAGGGCTATAACAGTAACTAGAGATCTTGAAATGCTAATGGTTTCAGATAAAACTAAAGCAAAGGCCCAACGGAAGCTCAGCTGTGAAGCATTCGGTGTACAGGGAGCTCTGGGTTCGATTCCCAGTACTGCAAACAACAGTAACAATATACTTGCTCCATTTGCATGGACCTTTAGAACACGTTAGAAATTGTTCTTATTGAATATCTTCTCCAAATTGAATCCTGCTGCTGAGGCCTTCTCTTTTGTAGATACAATTCAAGGCTGAATTTCCTTTTTCCTGCAGTTTAGTAACAAGGTCATCTGCATTTGCAACCATGAAGGCTCTGTGGGGAGCAGTGACCACACCCTTCTGTCTTTAATTGTCAACAAGGCACAGCCTACCAGGATCCAGAATGTCTACCTGAACCTGGTAGCGAGAAGAACCCCTTCTACCTCAGTGTCAAATGAGCCATGTGGAGTCCCTGGGCTTCTCCCTCTACCTGGCAATAAAGAGATAACAGTTCAGAAGTAACCAAAGGAAATTTTAGTACGCTCCAGTGTCTCTTAAGGTTGTGCTCAAGCAGTATGAGACTCAGTTTAAAAAAATCACTCATTCTAACAAGAACCCGAAAGTCCACGAACTGAATTTGAAAACAATGAATAAATCCCAGCCTAAGGTGATAGTCACCAAGGTTATCGAATAAAAACATTTGAAAGCATCTACAATAAAAAAAAAAGAAACTTTAATGAACAATTATGAATACGCTGGAAACAAATGAACTCCGTTTAGATTCCAGTCAAGAACGGGAACTACAAAGAACCGTGTGGAGGGGGCTGGAGCAATGGCTTAAGGATTACAAATGCTTGCTGCTTCTGCAGAGGACCTGAGTTCAGTTCCCTGTCCCAGGCTACCGTCTGGCCCGCAAGAACCACGCGGGACACTAGGATCCTCCTGCAGAAAAGCTTTAATGCGTCTTGAGAGGGAGAGCATAAGCTAACATGGCGGAGACCCAGAACTGAGGGGAACCCAGCCCTTATAAAGGAAACAGTCCTCACTTGGGACGTGTCACTCTTGGATTGGTCCGCTGCCCATTATCCCAGATGATGCCTCGGGAGTAGGCAGGGACAGCAGTGGAAAGTTACCAAGCACATGTGCGTTCACCTGGCGGTGAAACCGGATGCCAGCGCCATCTTGTAATGGAGTATGTGGTTGCGGTCCTCTACAGTTCCCAGTGCCCATGTTGGGTGACTCACAATAACCTGTAACTCCAGCTCCAGGGGATCTAGCCTTCATGGGTACCTGCATTCACACGCATGCCTCCCCCTACATACACAAGTAAATTAGAACATAAAATAAATCTAAATAAGGAAGTGAATATTTTAGAAATGATCAGCGTAGTAACCAAAACCACAACAGATAAGCTCAAGAGTAAAAGGGAAGGAGCTGAAAAAAGAACAAGAAAACGTGAAGCTAAAGCAACAGAGATGACCCAATTCCAAAGACAGAAAAGAGACTTAAAAACCTAATGGACTGAGCAGGTTATATATGGGAATATTTATAAATATTTATATACATATATGCATGCAATAATAATTTTAAAAAAGAGGCCATGACTTTGAAGGAGAGTGGGGAGGAGTACATGGGAAGGTTTGGAGGGAGGAAAGGGAAGGGATAAATGCTGTTGTTAAATTATAATCTCAAGACGGGTGGTGGTAGCACACACCTTTAATCCCAGCATTTGCGAGGCAGAGGCAGGTGGTTCTCTGTGAGTTCAGGGCCAACCTGGTCTACAGAGTTCCAGGATAGCCAGGGCTACACAGAGAAACCCTTTCTCAAAAAACAAACAAACAAAAATGTCATTTTTTTAAAAATTAAAACCATTCCTCCTGACCTTAAGCCATGTTTGATGATGAGAGCAAAACCGGTAAAACATTCTGACGTGGTTTTAAATGAACATATAGAAAGTATTTAATATTATCTTAAATGATTAATGAATTAGATACAAATTCATAAAAATGTATACAGTAAAATAGAATTATAGCTAAACCCAAATAAAAGGCTAAACAAGTCAAATAATAACAATGGCAGCCGGGAAAAAAGGGAACAGAGAAAAGGTCTGGCGTGGCAGTTAAAATCTGTAATCCCAGCCCTCAGGAAGCTGAGGCCAGGCTGGGTGTGAAGGAACATACTTCGTATGCTTATCTGTAAAATGAATAAGCAAAGAAGCCCCAGTAGATGGCATGTCTACAAGCCCATGGCAGGGTTTTCCTCTGTAGTAATATGCCTTTTGGCCTTGGATCTTCTCCACCTATTTCCTTACTAAAACACCCACAGGTTAGTAGGAGATGGGGATTGGAGATCTTTTGATAAGTGTATTGGATGTGGCTCCTCCCTCATCCTGGAGTCTTACTATGTAGCCCAGGTATTCCACCAGCTTAGGGTCCTCCTGCCTCAACCTTCTGAGTGCTGGGATTAGCTATGTGCCACCATGTCCGCCGGCATAGTAGATCTTGAATTCTATATTCTGCTCTTCAAAAACTCTTGAAGAGAGGGAACCGAACATCTGAGAGTTATTGTATACCCTTCCTTTGGAGGTGTATGTAGGCAAGAGGACAGTTCCATCAAACCTACCATCAACCCATCAAAGAGCCTTCCTCGAACCGAAACCCAAACCTACCTCTCCAGGGAGCTACGAACTTAGGAGAAAATCTTAAACTCCTGGGCTTTTATTTCAGTGATGATGTAACAAAAGCATTCGTGGAGAGAGTTCTGGGATCATCTGGAGGATGTCTGTAGAACTCAGGCCCTCATGGGCAGCATCCTTTGATGCGACATAGTTTTACTTCAGTAATTAAAGGTTAGGAGACAAAGAACTAAGGCTGATACAATGTAGGCAGAGCACTCTTCCCAGGTGACTGCGAGAGGAAGCCCTGGCTTGAAGATAACTCCCAACTGCTCAAAAGGAGGGGAGGGCTGAGCATCACAGGGAACACCCAGTAGGGGCCAATTTCAGTCAAGTTATCTTCTAGTGAGAGCAGCAATTCAAGTCCAACAAGGCAGTACTATTACACTGAATTAATTATGCTGATCATTAACGAATAAAAGTAATTAAATAGGACAAAGCATGGAGAGAAGTTTCAGTGGTTAAAGAGTGTGTTTTGCAACTGTGAAGGCTGGAGTGTTGATCCTAGCATCCAGGCGACAGGCTGGGTGTCCTGTGTGTGCCTATACGCCCAGCTCTGCTGAAGGCAGAGACAGGAGGATCACCGGGACTTTGCTGACTTCCAGCCAAGCTGTTAAACAGGAGACCCAGGTTCAGGGAGAGATTCTGCCTCAATGGAAGAGGTGAAGAATGATAGAGAACCCAATGCCCTCTCCTTCCTCTTGTGCAGGTGTACATATGTGGAACTCATATACTCATGTAGAAACAGACATACACCTGCAGAAAAAGAAGTTGTGTCAGCTAAAATTTTATTATTTTTATTTTAGTTTACTTGTTTCAAAACTCTGAAATTATCTGCGCAAGGGAATGATTTGTTGTAGGATTGCATATTTAAGCCACGTTTTGATTAAAATCACTAAAAACAACGCCGGCATGGTACAGGAGGACTTTTCTTGAAGCATTGTGCTGTTGTAGAACAATTTTTGAACTGGACAAATAAATCTCTTCAGAGATTTAGTAGAGAAGACACTCAAGTCCCAGGAGATTAAAGGACTTTTCCAAGGTCAGGCAACTAATCCAAAGCTAGACTGTGACTTGCAAGTCTCGCCTGGGCCCCTTTCCAAGGCACGGCCATGAGGAACTGTGATCCAGGACAGTGGGTTGTTTATATTACATGAGTAGATGGCAAAGCCTTCTGTTAACAGAGGCTGGGAGCTCTGCCTTTCCTTCCACAAAGCTCAGACTCATGGTACACGTCTTCTGTAGGTCGGGCACAAATGGGAACCAGAGATGAGGTTGAACCTCAGCCCAATACACTGTGCCATTACATCCGAGGAACTTCAGGGGATGATGAAGGATTTACCCAAAGGCTATTATTAACGCGGACAGTACGTGGACAGGAGGCTCCACAATGAGTGGAAAGTCCTTTTGGGCTTTAAAAAAAAGATCAACACAGAGGCCATGCTGATGCACGCCTGTAAACCTAACACAGAGTTAGAAGGATCTAGAGTGGACC